CCTTCCCCTCTCTCTAAAAATAAAATAAATAAAAACTTATTTAAAAAGAATATTTTAAATTAGATGGATATCAATTAAGCATACAATAAAATACATCTTTTTCAAAATTAATGTTCTAAAGAGAAAAAAATACATACTAGAGGAAAATATCAAGAACAAAATCCTGAGAAGAAGGATGTTAAAGAACTGATGCTAACCTAACAACAGGATGTACTTATATAGCTACAGTAATCAAGACAGTGTAGTATTGGTAAAAGAATAGACAAATAGATCAGTGGAACAAAATAGAGAGCTCATAATTAGACACTATAAATACTGTCAACTCTTTTTTGACAAAGGAGCCGAAGCAATATAATGGAGCAAAAACAGTCTTTTTAACGAATGTTAGTGGAACAATTAGACATTCACATACAAAAAAAATTAATCTAGATACAGACCTTACACCTTCACAATAACTAACTCAAAATGCATTAAAGAACTAAATGTAAACCGTGCAACTAACACCATTAGAGATGACATAGAAGGAAGTCTAGATCAGCAATTTTCAACCTTTTTCATCTCATGGAACATAGTAAACTAATCACTAAAACCAGATTGTAGCACACCAAAACTAGATTTTCTTGCCCATCTGACCAAAAAAATGGTATAATTTTGATTCACTCACACTGGATGATATTAGTGTGTTGGCTGTTGTCACTTTTTTGTTTTTGTTTGACAATGTAAGGGAAAAGAGGTCCATGCCCCTGACTAAATAGTGAGGTATTGCATGTTTTAAAACTTCTTGCTGTACACTGGTTGAAAATTGCTGGTCTAGATGATTATGCGTATGGTGATACTTTTTCAGATAGAACATGAAAAACACATCCCATGAAAGAAAGAATTGATAAGATGGACTTCATTAAAATTAAAAACTTCTGTTCTGCAAAAGGCAATAGCAAGAGAATTGGAAGGCAAGCCACAGACCAAGAGGAAATACTTGCAAAAGACAGATCTGATAAAGGAATGTTACCCAGAATATGCAAAGAACTCTTAAACTCAACACTGAGAAAACAAAAAGGGTATTAAATATGGTCCAAAGAACTTAAAAGACAGCTCACCAAAGAAGAAATACAGATGGGAAATAAACATGAATGAATGCTCCACATCCCATGTCATCAGGAAAATACAAATAAAAACCACAATGAGATACCATTGCGTACTTATTAGAATGGCCAAAATCCAGACAACTGACAGTACCCCATGCCGGTGAGTACGAGGAGCAGCAGGAACTCTCATATATTGCTGCAGTTAATGCAGAATAGCGCAGCCACTTTTTGGAAAACAGTTTCGCAGTTTCCTACAAAGTTAAACATATCCTTACCATGAAATATCACACTCCTTGATATTTACCTAAAGAAAGTGAAAATAAATCCACACAAACACCTGCTCCTTGATGTTTATAGTTGATTAATTCATAATTATGCAAACTTAGAAGCAAACAAGATATTCTTTGGGAGGCGGATGGATAAATACACTGTGGTACATCCAAACAATGAAATATTATGCAGTGTTAAAACAGAAATGAACTATTAAATTAAGCCATGAAAATTCTTCCATGAAATTCCATTGAGAAATTTTAAATGCATACTAGTAAGTGAAAGACGCCAATCTGAAAAAGCTGTATGCTATATAATTTCTACTGTATACCATTCTGGGAAAGGAAAACTGTAGGTAGAAACAGAAAACAATCAGTGTCTACAGAGGGGTTGGTGTTTCAGGAAGGATAACTTGGCATAGCGCAGAGGATTTTTAGGGCAGTTAAAATACTTTTTGTGATATTACAATGATGGTGGTATATCATTATACATTTGTGCATACCCATAAAATATTCACAGCCAGGAGTAACCCGTAAGGTAAACAAGGGACTTTTGTTGATTATCATGTTGTAGCAATGTAGGTACATCCTTGGGGAGATGAACCATTCTGTTGAACGATGTTGCTCATAGGGGATGCTATGCATATGTGAAATGGGGTATGTGGGAAAACTGTACTTCCCTTGCAATTTCATTGTAAAGTTTTTAAAAATGTCTTTAAAAGAAAGGGTTTACCATAAAAAAATCAGGTTTTCTAAAATGATCTTTATTCTCCGTTTTATCTTTATTAATATGGACAAATGATGTTTATTTCTCACCACGACTGCAGCCTCACTGGATTTATTAGGTCCTCTCAGGACCCAAAATCACACCTTTCCCTAGTGAAGTTTTACCATTCTCTCTTAATGATTGTTCTATTGACTTAATTTATTCACTTGCAAAATGCAAAGTGTGTTAAAAGTAAATTTGTGAAGTATTAAGCTGTTTTATTTGCTGCAAACTTTAGGAAGCTTCGGATCACTTAACAGTGTTATATTTGGCCATGCTCATAATGAGTTTTTAACTCTTCAGGATCATATGAACAGTTACATGTGTTTGTATGTAGGTGTCTGCAAAATGGAAATAAAATGTATGTCTGTAAATATATGTAAAAGTTAAAAAAATTTATATTTAAAACAGTGTGATAGTTCTGTGATTTGTAAGTTATTTTAACTCACATCTCCACCTCCCTAGTGGTTCTTTAAAAATACAAGTCTCTTCATATTACAGACAGTATTCAGTCTCTGTTGGGCTCCCATTACTTTTAAGCTGGGGACCAAAATGTTTAATTTGACTACCAGGTGCTGGGGGGCTCCCTGCTTTCCCTTAAAATCCTCTTAGACCTGGCTCTCTGCTGTTCAGGTAAATGGGTCCTTTTCTCTGATTTGAAAGGCCCTATGTTTGTTGCTATGCCAGCGCTTGTCTCTGAAATGTTCTTTCTCTGCTACCGGCCTACTCACCTCCTTTTATCCCTTGATCCTCGGGGAAGTGGTCCCCACTCCTTCCCTTTCTCCTCATCCAAACACCTTCCTTTGGCAAATATAGTCATAACACTGGCCCCATCCTTCAAATGACTTACCTTCAATTCTAACCAATCAATCAATCACTATAGCGTTGTATCCCCTTACAGTAAAGGTGAGTATAAAGTTCTCTCTCCCATTAGGCAATGAGTGAATGACTTTTAGCTGTGCTCCTGTTTTTAAATTCCAGTGCCCAGCACTCCTAAAACTTCTTAAGACATAACTCAGATCAGGGAACTCACTGTTCTGCTTGAAATCCTCTAATGCCTGTGCCTTTTACTCCAAGACACACTTGGAGTAAAATCCAAACTCCTTATTAAGGGACTCCCTAGATGAACTGCCTCTATTTCTTTACTGACAGCCACTTCTACTCTTTCTCTTCCTTAAGATGTTCCTCTCTTTCTCAAAATGCCAAATTCATCCCCAAATTGGGGGATTTGCATTTAGTTTTCTTCCTTCTAGAACATTCCTCACCAGGTTGTCATACAAAGCTTTTCCCTTCTCATTGTATAGTTCTCAACTTAAATTTTACCTGTTTAAAAGCAACTCGATGATACTTTTCCCTCTCCCCATGCATTTTCCCCATCAATTCAATCTGAAATCTTTTTTAAAATCTTATTTTCTGTCTCCCAGAAGTTGCCTATAATCCCCATGAGAGCAGTTTAGCTTATCTGATAGCCATATCCTCTGATTCTAGACGAGAGTCAGATTATAGATCATCTGTAAATACTTGTTTGTTTTAGAAGGAATTAATTATAAAAGCTATAGTGTTTAGAAGACGTCGGTATGAGGTTTAAGGTCTATTCTTATTCTTACTTTTTAATTATGTATGTATTTTTCATCAGTATTCCATTAAGAGTATTTACAAATTGCATATTCTAAGTTAAATTTTGCATGGCCTTTACTGAAAATTTTGTGGAATAGCCAGCTTTTAAAAATACTGTGGAACACAGTCCTTTCAAATTATATTCCATTGCTATGGAATTATTATTCTATGTGCTATACATATAAACTATGAAGCTCCAGCATAGTCAAAATTTACATGGAATATATAGGGTATACACAGTATACACTGTGCTTGTTAAGAACTTAAGACAGCTTTGTCATAAGAACACTTTTACCTACCTTGGTTCTCAATTCTCAGTGCTGATGGTACTAAATTTCAAGATTTAAATCTATAATCTTAATATCATAGTGGGCTTTTGTTTTCATGTGGAGTGTCTCAGGAATGGATTGCCCCATGGATTAAAACTTCTTGCAGATAGATGTTAATCCAGAAAAGTATCTGGAGCATAGTAAATGGATGACATGCTTTCACTTCTATATCAGGGTTTCTGAACAGTGGCACTATAATATTTTGGAATAGATCATTCTATTTTTTAAAAGATTCTGTTTTGGGCATTTTAAGACACTTAGTGGCATTCCTGGTAGCACCCTTCCCGTCCATTATGGCAACCAAAACCACCTCCACACCTTGCCAAATATCACTTGAGAGGGCACAACTGGTCCCAGTTCTATACATATAGAGATATCATTTGTTAGAATTCCAAAATATAATTTATTGTGGACTGTTTTGGTCTTGGAAACACTGGCTCAAAGTCATTATTATAGGTCCTCTTCCCAATGCCATCTCTTTTTCCCATGAAGAAATTCCAGAATCTTTATGAAGGTGACTCTAGATCATTGTTGATTTTCTTTCTTCCTTTTTTTTTTAGATTTTAAACGTTCATATCTAAATTTTTAATAGCAAGTGTAAGACTTAGGCTGACTTGATTCATATTCCACCACTGTCAGAATAGAAGTATATATGGAACCACTGGTATTTAATAGAAAACTTGCTGAAAGACAATAATACAAATTTTAAGCCTTGTTGAAACACTATTCTTGAGCTAAAATTTTAGTTTATAGATAACAAGGGCAATTCTAAGTGTATTGATGTTTCTATTTTTCTTCCCAGATACAAACTATTTTACTTTTTCATATTTCAGAACCTCGAGGAGCTAGCATTCAGCTAGGCCCCCAGGATGACTATCCTGGCCCCCAACTTAACAATTCAGTCACAACACCTGTCTGTTCAAGAACTACTCTCATGGACTTTCCTATCCAACACCAGCCAAAGTGCAATCACGCAGGTGAACCTGCAGGGCCACTGTGGATGCCAGCACCATCAGCTTTTTTGGACTGTCCACCAGGATTGGAATATTTAACTGAGGTAATTTCAAACTCATAAAAGAGTCATAAAGATAAAACCAGGCTTCCAGTTTATTTATTAACAAATGACTCACAAAAGATTAAATAGTAAAATATTTTTGGTAATAAATTACTCTAATTCCTCTAGGTCAGGTTTGCTCTTAAATCAAACTACAAATGGCTTGGGAAATTGTGTTTTCTATGATATTGAATATAATGTGGTAATAGTCAATAGTAAAAGTTTGTTAAGCACTATTTTCAAATCTTTGTTCCTAAGTATAATACAAGTATTAATTCATTTGATCCTTTCAAAAACTCCATGATATATAGGTGCTCACCAATTTACAGAAGAGGAGGTTGAGGTCCAGAGAAGTTACTTGATTCCCTCAACATCAAAATGCCAAGGAAGTGGAGATGTTTTTTTACTTGTGGAACCTTGGTTCTGTACCCCAGGCTCTTTAATCCCAACACTGAGTAATATCCTAGAAATTGGGAAGAAAGATCAAACCCAATTTACCACTGAGTTCCAATAAGTGGTACCAAAAAAAAGGAATTAATACTTTGTATATAATATGATCCACCTTTTATTTTAACTAACAAAACTGTATTTTTATAATGCTCTTGTTTTATGTAAAATCAAATTTTATAGATACTACTATCAACTGATAGTTGTTAGTGCCAGTTCAGTGCCAACAAGAATCCTCTATGTGGGGTGCAGTGAAGAAGGAAACTAATCAATGCAAACAACTCAATTGAGATTTAGCATTGCTGTGCAACAGCTCAATAGTGTTACAACTAATTATGAAATAGCACAGCTGTGGAACAGCATGGCTGTGAGGCAGCCCTTAGGTGAGGCATCCCAAGGGTGAGGCCTCTCTTTGGCTAGAAAGCTGCTCCACTTCAGTCCACTTAGGGCCAGTGAGCTCACCTGCTCTTCTCTGTTCCATTCTACTCCAATCTACTCCATTCTAGTCTGGTGAGACATCTTTGGTGTTTCAGCTCCAGCCAGGGAAACTCAGTCTTCAGTGTTTGGTGGAAAGGGAAATTATGCTCCCTAAACCAGAGAGGAGGTGACTAATGTAGAAAGAAGCCCCTGACACTCATCACTGATTGGTCTGTTCTCATGCACATGAGGACTCTAAATCCTCACAGGTTGATTAATCCTAAAAGTTGTCCCGTCCTAATTGTTCAGAATGGAGCTATTCTGATTGGTCAGTAAAGATACCAAAAAGAATATAGCTATGCAGCTCTGAATGGAGAGGGAAAGTCTCAGTCCTATTGGTTGAAATACAATTTCAGGAATTCCTTTATACAGTCTGTCTCAGAGAAAAGGAACAGTGAAGAAAGGCAATTCAGTGTGGGAGGCAGAAGGCTTGGTGCAAACTTTTCTCTAAAGTGTGGCTTGCATAAAAGGATCCTGCTTAGAAACAGCTACCAGGCTCTTTTTAAAAATTAGAAACCTGCCCTGGCTGGTGTAGCTCAGTGGATTGAGCACAGGCCTGAGAACCACACTCACATAAAAATTAGAAACCAGTGAACCACCAGGATTCCCTCCTAATAGGTATCTTCTTTCTCAGGGTCAACATCACCAATAAAAAATAAAATGTTGGATTTTAATGTACCATATGATAGTTTATCTCAGCAATGTGAGATTTCATATTTGGTATTAAGAATATCATAGATAAAGTATAAATTCTAAAGTGTTCAATCTCTAAATAAATAAACTAATATCTTATAATAGCAAATCACTTTTCAATAAATAAATGGTCTTTTTTGTACTTTATTGAATTAATTTCCCATAATGCACTTGAGTAAGATATTTTATACAAATTTTAGTAGTTTACATATTCAACAAATACAATAAATAGATTTTTTAAAATCAGGACTCACATAATATGTAGGGCAAGTCATTGTTTACTTCAAATAATCATATCAAGTATACTTAAAAAAATTTGATATTTATAGAGAAAGTTCCTTAAATGGATGAAAAGGAACTCTTCCTATCTCCTGAACATCTTATTAGAAGGAATGTTTTCTTAAGTGTTTTTTTAAATTTTTATAGAGACTCCTTTATAAGTCATTTGCTCCCCTTCATAGTGAACACACCCAAGATCCTTTTTATTTAAAAAAATTATAAATTATTGAACTTTAGTTTTACACTTAAAATTAATGTAAGCTGTTGTTAAATATTGAGAATATTGACAGATATTGATACCTATATGCATTCTTAAAAATATAAAAAATGATGCTTAATTTTGTTAGCTTAAAAAATTTGACATGTACTTAATGCTAATTTTTTTACTATATTTAGATAGATAAAATACAGATTCATCAGCAAATTGATCTTCTGGAAGGTATGTACTTATTATCATTTCTCTATAAAGAGTAGACATTTATGCAGATAAAGACACATCAACAACCACAAATATAACAACTTTCACTGATGGTGCTGATTAGGCCCCGTTATTTACAGATGCCTCCCTTCCTGATAGTGAAATGATAAAGTTGATCATCAGCTAATATCTTGAAATTAGGAGTCAAGTGGTGAAATGCTACTTCTTTGGGCATCTGTCCTCATGATACTGACCTTAATTTGGAAAGAGAAGAAACAAAACATGTTTCTTACCACTCCTCTCTAGAAATCACTTTAGTGATTCTATTACTTTATCTGCCTATGTCACTTTAGCTGTGTTCCCCCCAATTTGTGATAACCTTGAGATTGGAACAGAGCCATATGCAATAGTTCATGTTACCTTAGTACCACATATTAATAGTTAGCTTAGTACATTTCCAAAATAAGGGAACTTTTTAAATTTTATGGACTGTTAATTACCAGCTAGATGAAACAATGCTGCAGTTCTGGTTGTGCCGACCAGCAGGCCCAGTTGCCTAGTTGCCTAGAAGAGCACTCCTGATCCTTCTACCTGACACCTTTTGACTCTACGAGATGTTTCCAGTACTGCCCAAGTGCAGTAACAAACTTAGAAAGCCACTAGAACTTCAGGACCCCCGAGAAACAACAACAACAAAAAACCCTGGGTAGATTCATTAACAATAGTATTGCCTTGGGATGGTCAAGATGGCAGAGAAGTAAGCGGAAGCTATACTAACCTCTTCCCAGAACCAGTCTGGCATTACAACAAAATTGTGGAGAAAGCATCCTGAAAAACTAACTGAACAAGAGCTGGAGGGAGCCTTATAACCAAGGACAGACAGAAGAAACCACTTCACCACACCAAGACTGCGGCCATCTTTTTAGACAGAACACTCCTCTCCAGCGGGCATCAGCCTGAAGGAAGCAGTAGCCCCACCCACAGAAATTGTTCTACCTGTGGTGCTTAAGCTTGGCTGCTGATTACAGATTAATTAGTTTAACAACTGATCAGTTTAATAGTTGCCTAGTTTAATAGCTAAGTCAGAAAATACAAAGAAACAGCCAAAATGGGAAGACACAGAAAGAGACCCCAAATAAAAAAACTAGAGAATTCTTCAAAAGAAGAACTAGATGAATTGGAGGCAAGCAAGTATCAGATAGAGAGTTTAGAGTAAAGATTATAAGGATACTCAACAGCATAAAAAAGTACATAGAAACCATAAAAAAAGGTCAGAAATGAAGAATGTAATATCTGAAATAAATAATAATTGGAAGGAATAAACAGACAGATGAAACACAGGATCAGATCAGTGATTTGGAAGACAAGGATCTGATTTGGAAGATTTGGATCTGATTTGGATGCTGTTTGAAAAATAGCATCCAAGCAGAGCAGCAAACAGAAAAATGAATTTTAAAAAATGAGGAGAGCTTAAAAAACATTTTGGGTAATATGAAATGTAAAAACATCCACATGATGGGAATACCAGAAGAAGAGAATGAGCAAGCAAGGGATCAAGAACCTATTTGAAGAAATAATGACAGAAAACTTCCCTAATCTGGTGAAAGAAAAAGACACAGGTCCAGAAAGTTCAGAGAATTCCAAATAAGTTGGACCCAAAGAGGCCTACGCTAAGACACAACATAATTAAAATGATGAGGTTTAAAGACAAGGAGAAAATCCCAAAATCCTCAAGAGAAAAGCAAGTAGTTACTTACAAGGGAGAACCTATTAGACTGTCATATGAGTTCTGAATAGAAACATTGCAGGCCAGAAGCAGGTGGCAAGAAATATTCAAGGTGATGAAAGGTGAGGACTTACAACCAAGGCTACTTTACCTAACAAGGCTATCATTTAAAATCCAAGGAGAAACAAGAAGTTTCCCTGACAAGAAAAAGCTAGAGGAGGTTGTTCATAACAAACTAGTACTGCAACAAATGTTAAAGGGCATGCTTTAAGAAGAAGAGGAAAAAAAACACAGGAAAATAGTCTAATAAAAATGGCATTACATACATATCTATTATTAATCACTTGAAATGAAAATGGCTTAAATGTTTGAACCAAAATAGACAGAATAGCTGATTAGATAAGGGAACAAGAACCATATACAGGTTGCCTCAAAGAGACCCATCTCAGATCGAAACACACACACAGGCTAAAAGTAAAGAATGGAAAAAGATATTCCATGTGAATAGAAAAGAAAAAAAAGCTGGGGTAGCGGTGCTTATTTCCAAGAAAATAGATTTTAAAACCAAGGCTATAATAAGAGACAAAGGAGGATACTACATAATGATAAAGAGAAAAACCCAACAAGAGGATATAACCCTAGCAAACATGTATGCAACCAACACTGAAGTACCTAAATATAGAGAGCAAATCTTAATGGACATAAAGGGAGAAACTGACAGAAGTACACCCATAGTTGGGGATTTTAATACCCCACTGACTCCAATGGATAGACCTTCCAGGAGGAAAATCAACAGGAGACAACAGCCTTAAACAGCACATTAGATCAAATGGATTTGGAGTATTTCACCCCAAAGCAACAGAATATACATACCCTTCAGGTGCACATGGAACATTTTCTAGGATAGATCACATGTTAGGACAAAAAATAAGTCCCAATAAATTTAAGCAGATTGAAATCATATCAAGCATCTTCTCTGACCATAATGTGATGAATTTAGAAATCAATCACAAGAAGAACACTGAAAGACACACAAAGACATGGAAACTAAATAACATGTTATTAAACAATGAATGAGTCAACAACAATATCAAGGAAGAAATCAATAGTTACCTTGAAACAAATGAGAATGAGAACACAATAGTTCAAAATCTGTGGGACATAAAGAAAGCAATCTTAAGAGAGAAATCATAGCATTACAGGCCTATCTCAAAAACCAAGAAAAAGCTCAAATGAACAATCTAACTTTGCATTTAAAGGAACTTGAAAGGGAACAACAAACAAAGTGCAAAGTGAGTAGAAGCAAGAAAATAATAAACATCATAGCAGAAATAAATGAAATTGGGTAAAAAAAATGATAGAAAGATCAATAAACCCAAGAGCTTGTTCTTTGAAAAAATAAACAAGATTGACAAACCTTTAACAAGACTCATCAAGAAAAAGAGAGAAAAGACCTATATAAATGAAATCAGAAATAAAGAGGAGAAATAACAACTGACACAAAAGAAATACAAAGAATTGTAAGAAAATACTATGAACAACTATATGCCAACACACTTATAACCTGGATGAAATGGATAAACTCCTAGAAACATACAATGTTCCAAAACTGAATCAGGAAGAATCAGAGAGTCTAAATAGACAAATTACATCTAGTGAAATTGAAGCAGCAATCAAATATCTCCTAACAAACAAAAACCCTGGACCAGATGGCTTTATAGGTGAAGTATACCAAACATTCTGAGAAGAGCTAATAGCTCTCCTTCTTAAACTGTTTCATAAAATTCAAGAGGAGGAAAGGCTCCAAACTCATTCATGAGGCCAGGATTATCCTAATCCCAAAGCCAGATAATACACTATAAAGAAAGAAAATTATAGGCCAATATCCCTGATAAAAACAGATGTTAGAATCCTCAACAAAATATGCACAAACTAAATACAGCAATGCATCAAAAAGATCATACACCATGATCAAGTGGGATTTATTCTAAGAATGCAAGGTAGGAACAACATTCTCAAATCAATAAGTGTGATTCACCACATAAACAAAATGCAGGATAAAACCACTTGATTATATCAATAGATGCAGAAAAGTCATTTGATAAAATTCAATACCCATTTATAGTAAATACTGTCAGTGAAGTGGGAATAGAGGGAACATACCTAAACATAATGAAGGCCAAATATGGTAAACTCACTACCAGCATCATATTCAATGGGCAAAAACTACAAGCATTCCCCTTAAGATCAGGAACAAGACAGGGATGTCTCTGCTTTCATCTCTCTTATTCAACACAGTACTGGAAGTCCTACCCACAGCAATCGGACAAGAGGAATAAATAAAAGTATCCAAATCATAAAGGAAGAAATAAAACTCTCATTATATTGCAGATGACATGATACTCTGGAGTCCCAAAGATTCCACCAAGAAACTGCAAAAACTCATAAATAAATTCAGCAATGTAGCAGTATACAAAATTGATGTTCAGAAATCAGTTGCATTTTTATATGCCAATAACAAACTGACAGAAAAGGAAATTGAGCAAACAACTCCATTCATAGTTGCTTCAAAAAGAATAAACTACCTGGGAATTAAGCTAACCAAGGATATAAAAGACCTGTACTCAGAAAATTACTGAAGAAACATATTGTAGAGGATACAAATAAGTAGAAGCACATAACTTGTTCATTGATAGGAAGAATTAACATCATTAAAATGTCCATACTACCCAAAGCAATCTACAGATTCAGTGAAATCCTTGTCAAGATACCAATGACATATTTCATAGAACTAGAATAAATATTCAAAAAAATTTGTGGGACCACACAGGACCTCATGTAGCAACAGAAATTCTGAGAAAGAAGAACACAGTTGGAGGGATCTAGTTACCTAATATCAAACTATACTACTATAAGGCTACAGTAATCAAAACAGCATGGTATTAGCATAAAAACAGACACATAGATTAATGGAACAGAATAGAAAGCCCAGAAATAAACCTAAACCTTTACTGTAAATTAATATTTGACAGAGGAAGCAAGCACATACAATGAGCTAAAGATGGTTTATTTAATAAGTGGTGCTGGGAAAACTGGATGGATAAGTATAGAAAAATGAAACTAGACTACTTTCCCATGCCACACACAAAAATAAATTCAAAATGGATCAAAGACTTACATGTTAAACCTGAAACTGTACATATTATAGAAGAAAACATAGGCAGAAAAATCTCAGACATTGCTTTTAGTAATTGTTTATTAGACATATCTCTCCAGGCAAGGGAAACAGAAGAAA